TCAATTAGGAATATATCCATGCCAATGGATCTGTGATCCAAAGTGTAGGTATAATTATAGAGGAAATGAGTTTATTTTGCGAGATGACCAGGATATAAGGTGAATTAGTCTGTTTTTTTGAGGAATAGTAAAAACATTAATGGCATATGATAGTTTTTTAAATCCTGGGGATGGGAAGGGACAAGAAGCACAACAGAGAGCATTAGCCCTCTATGAGGTAGGTAGGTGCTCCCTTTCTTGGCTCCAAAGGCTTCTCCTCTTCAAGGCCAAGCTTACGTTGACCTTGTCTTTCAGGAGAAGGTGATTTAGGGCATCAACTTTTGAATGGTTGCATAAACTACCTAGTTTGTTTCCTTGATCCTGAAGTTCTCCCCAAGAGCTACTTTCATTCAGAGCAAATTTATTATGTGACACCTTTCTGTAGAGTTAGAGAAATCTTGACAAGATTACTAATCTGTTCTACTTTTGTAGCACAGAAACTTTTTTCGGGTTTTCTTTCTTGAGAAAGACAGTTTCTGCCCTAGCCACATACCTTTCTTTTACCTGAAGTTCTTTCCCTTTGTGGAAACCTGTCAGAAAACCTCCATGCTAGAAACGTCCATTTCCCTTGCAATCTTGCTGATGGGCACTATGACTGTGATTGGGAAACCAATCGTACAGCATACTGCCCCTCCCTTTAATATACCTGGCCTTCTTCATGATAACTGACTCATGAAGTGAAGGTGAAGTGAGTGAGAGCTTGATACAAAGATGCACCAAGTGCTTGGATTAGCCCCTTACGGGACTCTCTACCCTGCTACCTGTGACTTCCGAGTTTTGGTTGTGTCTTGTCCCACTGGTTACTATGATCAGGTTCCGCATGCCCTGTCCCATTTGAGTTTTCTGATTGCTTCCCTCAACATTCCTTTCTATTGCCCTTGCATGGCTCCATTTAAGCCTCATGACTTTTGGGACATTCCCTTAAACACACCAAATAAAGAGGCCTTTTGCTTATCTAATTTCTCTCCAAAGCCATCCTTTTAATTCCCAGCAATGAAGCCCTTCAAAAGCTGTAACTTCCAACACAGCCGCAGAGTATACAAGTACACATAGATATTTAGTGTCTTGAAAATTCCCAAATCCTCCTGCTTGAAGAGTTTTGGTTCTTCTACCCATCTCCATGTCATACTCCTCGCTTAATCTAATCCAATCTTCCTGTCCATCAGCATCTCTGATTGCTCTTTATTTCCATTAATTTAAGGGATCTAACTTGACAGAATATTATCTCATATAATCATTGTCAGCAATAAAGGTCGATTCACCTCAACTTAAATTAGAAAGCATGAGTTAATGCATTTAATGTGAAGAAGTCTTGATGTGATGCTAATAGGTTCAGCAGCTCTGCTTAAATCATTGGGATAAAAATTCTTCTATAAAAAGCATGGACAGCATGCTGACCACATTAGCATATTGTTTTTAACTAACATCCTGAAAATTCATAAAATCAAGTTGCTTTTAAATTCCACGAAGTTCTTCAGAATCTAAAAAGGCTGAAACATTGGATAGTTAAAGTAGGGGGGAAGTGGTTTACGAACAACAGCAAATGTTCCAAATAGGAAAACCGTGCTCCTCCCTTCATGAGTGCTGCCGTCCAAATGAAAAACTGCCTGCAGGAGTGAGCTTGATCTATATGTTTTTAGTGAATTGTAGTAAGTGTTATTAGTAGTAATGAAGATACATTAACTCTAGTCTCTTGACAACGCTTGTAGCAGTTTCTTAGTACTTTTATCAACATATAAATTTTACAGCTGGCAATATGGGAATTTGACTAGTACGTTTTTGCTTATAAAAAAGGGTAACAACATTATAACTTCTTCATATTGGTGAATTATGAATCTTGACTTTTAAAGCTGAGAAGTAAAATAAGCCGGAAGTACTTTCATGTTATGGTAGAACCTCTCTTTATTACTCACTGGAAGAAATGAAAATGTCATCTGACAAATGGAACACAGGAGTGGGGGTGAGTGGCTCCTTCGGGCTCTTCTAGGATCTTCTGGGGAGTTGTCATTTCTGTGTGTGATGGTGTTCTACTCTGCTACACTAGTGCTGGATAGCTAATGCTAATTGGGTTTTTAATTATTAGTTTATTATTAAAATGATACACCTTGATTTTAGGTGTAAGTTGGGGATCAGTAGAAGTGCTGCAAAATTCCCCCAAAGCAGTGAGGGATCTCTTTTTGCTGTTCAGTTCTGGATCTGTAGGACTTATTGTCCAACTGCGTCCTCTGTCCAACACGTCTGTGCTGGTGGACCAGCTCAGTGGGTTGCCAATCCAAGTGCACTACATTTCAGAGTCTAAACAGCGGGTATTGTTGTTCCTTTTGGTTTTTCCTCTGGATAAAATTGGATTCTTCTGAGTCCTCATCGTTCCCGTTTGGAGACTCTACAGTGCTCCGGGTCTTGATGAAATCAGCACATTTTAATCTGCAAATACGAACTTCTGTTAAGACTCCACCATCAGTACAGAACCCTTCTTCCATTTGGACTCTGCATTGAATGGCCTCCATTATAGTAGCAAGCACCTTTGACAAACACGTGTATTCTTATTGGGCATCTAGGTGGCACAATGGATAGAGCACCAGGCCTGGAGTCAGGAAGACACTTACTAGCTGTGTGACCCTGGGCACATCACTTAACCCTGCTTGCCTCAGTTTCCTCATCTGTAAAATCAGGCGGAGAAGGAAATGGCAAACCACTCCAGTATCTCTGCCAAGAAAACCCCAAATGGGGTCATGAAGAGTCGGATGCAACTAAAATGGATGAACAGCAGCAAATCTTCTTGTTTGCTACCTCACTTATAGTAATAACTTGGAGCTCATTGAGCAAATTTTGTTCTGTTGTTGTATCTCTTAAGGATGTAATCACATGATTCTGCCATATACCTTATTGGAGAAGAACGTTTAAGCCCTAAAATTTAAGGTGACATTTTGTTTTACAAAAGCCTGTCTTATAACATCAGTGCTATTCCAGTGGTTCTGCATGACTGTGAGTCACAGAATACAGCATTCTCCAAAGAATTAAATTGTTAGGAGGCAATGAAGGAACACATGGTAGGCAAGAGTAGACCACAACATATTACAAAGAATTGCACAGGAGAAGTGGCATACAGAGGCTATGAGAGAAATGAGCGACTGGAAGAAGATGTGGGCCAGTCTTGCAGCAAGAACACACACAGTGTGAACAGCCCACATGCACCACTGGTGTCCACACGATGTCAGGATCTCTGAAAGAAGCACCAAGGCCTTGGAAAGGATTTTTGAAAGGACGTGGATGAGAGTCAGACAGTATGAGAAATCATGGTCAAGTTGGCCACTAGAGGGCATGGGATTCTCACAAGGATGACCTCAATTCCATAGAAATTAAAGAGTTTCATCATGTTGAGTACACCCATCCCCTAAAAGGATTGCAATTCCATCATGTTTTAGTAGGCTGTTTCAGTGAGTTGCAGTGGATGAAACAATTCATCATTTAAAGGCCACTGCTCTGATGATGGGCCTTTCCAAATGTAGCTCACTTGTCTGGTCCAAAAATGGCAAACAAATATAGTTCAGCACGGGGCCCTGTGCAGAGCTTTGGTAAATTGGTAGAACCTACCAGAGTCGTGCTCTGCTAGTGACCTAGGATTTCGCCATATCGTGACAAGGCAATAGGCATCAGCCCTTTAGTAGAAAATATATTATAAATCACAAGCTACGTTACTCACATTTCTTTTAGGAGACCTAATTTTCAGGTGTCTTTTTTAAAGGACACAAAATAGCTCCTTTCTTTTCCTAGCGAAGCCCTACCAACCTGAATCCATTGCTTCATCAGACATGGAGCTGACCTTCACTTTTTAGAATCAAAGAAGTTGGAATAGACCTCAAGGGTCATCTTGTTCAACAAGATGGGGAAACTGAGGCCCAGAGAGGTGAAGTGGACAATATGTACCAGAGGTCTTGGCTCTTCTTACTCCAAACCCAGCATTCTGTCTTTGGAACATACATTCTGGCAGGTATTATCAAATTAGAAAAGACCAAGTGTAGGCCTGGTGACCAATGATAGGGCTGTCGCCTAAGACCAGCAGAACTAAGTTTGGAGAAGTCATCACTAGTTGCTGATTTTTCTCAGCTGTAGCAGCTTGTGAAGGTTATATGCTTGGAAAAGGAGTGCCTTGTTATGTACACAAATGGAAGAATTGGTCATAACAATGAAATCACAAGTCCTGATGTGTTGGAGTATATTGTAGCTAAAATACCTTGGAAATTTCAGTTAGCTAGAATTCAACAAATTGGATCCCTTGGTACTATGCTTCTCTGAGAGAAATGGGAATTGTAGGAAACAAGCTCATGTCAGGCATTTAGCCAAAAAGTTATTGGCTTCCTGGAGGTGCTATAGATTCTACTTATAACTATGGTACTGCAAGAACATGGCAGATCTCTCAAAATGATGGATAACCTAGTGGCTCTGCCAGAAGTCACTGCCATGAACTTAGCACTAAAGAGAAGTGAAAATTTCCAGAAACAGATTAGGAGATTTCCTTTTTTATTCTCAATTTGAGTGAAGATATTTATTGATTGCCTACCTCTGATGTGAAAAGTACTTTGCTAGGCACTGATGGACAGTCCAAGATGGGAAAAAGCCCATTTCCTGGCTTCAAGCTAATCAATCCAACTTCTGTTGACTCCTGAGCAATTCATGATGAATGGAGACTAGAGGTGTGCATGTATCTTTTATGTACATACAGTTTTATGCAATGTTCAACCGCAGAATATTAACACTTCTCCATAAACCACACGCTTTGTAGACGTACTGTATACATGTATCTTGTGTTTAGACTTCTGGGGACTGTCTTTGCTGTAATGCCATTATTTGGACCACTGCTCAAGTGGATGGGGGTGGGAGGGGACTGTGCCCAGTGTTGCAGGTCATTTTCTTTTTGCTTTTGTGATATCTGACCACTTCATCTGTATCTTATTTTTCAGGGCTAATGCCAAAGCTGCCCCTCTAAACATAAACAAGGTCTCCAATAGCCTCCTTAATTTTGGCAGAAAGTTAATTGGTCCAGCAATGACCACAGGCAGTACTGTTGGGCCTGTACCCAGCAGCAACAGTGGGAGCTCTCCTGCTGTGATGACCATCAGGACCCCAGCAGAGGCCCCCCGGCACCATCACCCACCACAGCAGATGCAGCAGCAGAGAATGATGAAATCAGAGAGCATGCCAGTTCAACTCAGCAAAGGTACAGAAAAGAATGCTAGTGAAGCAGATGAAAACTTTTATCATAAGATGGAATTTCCTAAGCCTCTTACTTAAAAAAAAAAAAAGACCTGTGGTTATGAAATTGTTGATAAATAGTTTAAAGTCATTTTTAATTCAATGTTTTAATCCAATTTTAAGCAAAAATCCATTCGATTTGTTTTATTTTCTAAATCAAGAGCACTATTAAAAAGTGATTTATGGGTTTTCAGATATTTAGATTTAAATTCACCTGTAAGCCCTTAGGATGCTTAGGCAGCCTCAGACAATAGGCTATCGGCATTATAATCTGAAATTGTTTGGCAGTGCTCAGTATTAAACTTGTGATCACTGGCACTGCCATAAAGCAGAGGTATTCTGAAATAACCGAGCCAGCCTGGGTGGGTCATTCTAGCGTGGACTGAAGTTTGATGTGATGAAGCTCAGACAGACCTAATACAGTAATATCTCACTTACCCAACAGAGCTCACCAACCCAGTGATCTGGCTATCAGGATCACTACCAAGAACCTGAAAAAAATGAGAAAGGCCTGTGTAGCTGAGGTTCTAGGATAGTGGTTCCTGGCCAGCCTGTTTCCTTTTCATTTTTACCCAGTTGCAGGAGGCTTATTAGTTGACTGGTTTTTCAGGGCAGGGAAGATTGGCCTCAACACTTCATCCATAAAATGGGCATGATGGTGCTTTCCTTCCTCCCTGCCTTACATAGCGATTGAAAGAAGCATGAGTGGTTTAGAAAGGCAGGTTCGTTGACAATGGCAAAGGTTGGCAGTGTTGGGAGGTCTCTTATGAAGCAGGAGGCAGGAAGACTGCAGGAGCCCAAAAGCTGAGCCATCTGAAGCCATGTCATTCAGGGGCTCCGTGCAAGGAGCAGCACTCTGGGAACAGTGGTCATTAATAGGACCCTGAGCTAACATTCGATGCACTCAGTCTGAGGAGGCAGCAGGATGCCAAAGCCCTTAATATTCCTGTGCTGAGAGAGAGAAGCTTCAGGTGTCGAGAAAATCCACTCATGTCACTGCTTCTCTTCCCTGAGAATGCTGACTAAATGAGGGGTTGCTGCACACACACACACACACACACACACACACACACACACACACACACGAGCATTCCTTCCTGATACCGGTTTCCCTCTGCCTTTGCTCTATTCACATCTTGCTTCTATTAGGTGTTAGTCATTACATAATTAGTATTTTAATTTTTATTAAAATATTCAGTTTACCTTGCACAAGAATAACTGCTTTAAATTATATTCTTACTTGCTAATTCAGAGCCATCACACATGATTTAAAGAAAGGGAGACAAAATCATTAGCATATTGTAAATGTATTTTAATGCCAGGAGACATGCCCACTTCCAGAATGGAAATGAATGTTATTTTATATATTTCTTAATTGTACTGTTTTATTGTTCCGAACAAATATAATTTCAATATTGCTTTGATAACAAGCTATAGTCAGTAGTAATTCTAACTGATGGCAGGCAAATGAGTCAGAGAGTCTCTAAGTACTGGATTTTAAATTTTCTGAGGAACTGAGCCAAATGACTCCAGCAGAATAAAGTTGGGTCTCTCAGGAAATGTCAAGTATTAATACCAGTGAGTGAGAGAGGAAGTACGAAGAATTGGAGCAATCGATGAAAACCCAGTCCCCAGTCGTACAGAGACACCAGAACACTTAAGCAAAGTATTTGGAACACGAGGATCACTAGGGTATTTCATAACCGATCCCTGTACTGAAAGAAACTGGTCGTCTTTAGGAGCTCTTCACGTTTTCACAGAATCATAGCTGGAGCTGCCAGAAATCATGGAGGCTATCTACTCCAATCTCTTATTTTACATAGAGGGAAACGGAGGTCTTGAGAGCAAAGTGACTTGCCCACAGTGACATAGCTACCCACTAGCGGGGCCAGCTACACTAAATTTCTCTTTCTGTGAATAGGGATGGCCTCCCTCTGTACAGCCCCCGCTGTTTTTATACACCGTTCTTCTCTGGAGGGACACTTAACATTTTTAAAATTCAAACGTAGGTACAGTTTTCTTTGGTGAGTTTCCTTGGCAGTAAATGTATCCGAAATCAAAAGGGGAGGGGAAGATCATGAAACTGGGAACCAGGAAACACAGCTTCTGGTCTCAACTCTTTCATGCCTAGCTTTATAACCTCAGATGGGTCTGTAATCTCTCTGGGCCTCAGTTTCCTCATCAGTAAAATGAGGGTGCTGAATTATGATGATCCTTAAGGGCCCTTCCAACCACAGAGTTCTATAATTTCTTTAAAATAATATCCTTTAGAGCAGAACATAATTCTTGGCTAGAATTTCTGGATGCTCACATGTCCTTCTCCTAAATATGCCCAACTATATTTCCTCATTGATAAATTTGAAACTATCAGCTAGTCTGATAAACAGCACAGTAGTCAGCCTGTTAGGAGACCTAGTATTAGGGACATGATTTCAAATTATCTCAGAGCTATCTGTAGAAGCAGTAATCAGTCATATGCACAGTGCCTTTGAGGGGGGGAAATGCAATATCTTTTTTAGCGTACTCTGCTGGAAAATTCACAAGTTTTGAAAAATTGTTGTTTACAAAGATAAAAATGCTTAGATGGTTTTCATAACATATTCCACTTCTTGATTATTCATGCTGATGTAGAAGAACAGTATTATGGATAATGCAAAACTAATTCATGATTGACTTGGAATACACTCTGTGGTTCAGAGGACAACAGATATGCCTCCCTGATTATGTGGGGCTCTGGATGAGATTAAAAGGAGCTTGCGTTCCCTGACCACATACTAAGGCAGCAAGAGGAGGTGACCCAGGGGCAGCAGGGAGGCTGTAGATGGCAAGACTGGGATCTAAAAGACTCCGCAGGTATTGACAAAGCAGATGAAACAGATGAAAGCAGATCCTTGAAAGTCGACTGTGGAAGAGGAATGAGGGATTTTAATGTGTCAATGACTATTTTATAGTCTACAAACTCCTCCTTGCTTTTGTTATTTTCTAAACTCCTGTCAGGCAGATGTTTTACTTTGTTTCAGTTATGGGACGAATATAAAAGGGGATGCTATTAATTGATCTGTGGGAATGTAATTACAACCCAGCAAATTCTAAATGAGCTGATCATGTTGCAAATCATAGCTAAAGCAAGTGCCCAGGGCACCGAGGGGGTGGCATTTAATTCAGAAATGGATTTTTCACTATTGTGTAAATACCAAAGGGGGACCCACTGAACCTGTTAATCATGTGTAGTCTTTATGTGTGTGTGAAACCAGTTCAAAAGACTGGACATCATTGCTTTTTTTATGCACCAGTTAATCATGAAGCAACATTTGATATAGGGAAAAACAACCTACTGATATTAAACTGATTATGCTGAGTGTTGAGCTAGCCGTCGAGAAAACACCTCTATAACCAACCCAAAGCAAAAAGCTCAGTGGCCCTCCTTTCTAAATTGGGTTGTGTTCTGAATATTCCACAGGATTTGGAGCAGGGAAGGGAAGCTCCTAGGAGAAAGACCCCCTTTACTCCTTGGTGCCTTTGAGTCACCCCACTCCTCTCCTGTGTTCCCTTGCCCTAGTTGGCCTTAAATGTTTCTGCCTTAGAAGGGCACATGACGGGGTGAGGAGGTAAGGGAAGGCTCACCCAAAATAATACCCGTGGTTTTAAGAGGGTGCCATCCCTTTTATCTTTTTGCACATTGACATTTCTCAAATATGTATGGGAGCTCCTCAGATCTTTCAATTACTTAATTTGCAACTAAAAATATACACTTGATATGCGCTGTTTTACAAACACTTTTATCTACTGCCTCAGAGCGCTTGAGCCTACTTAAAGATAAATGATTTGTGATGTGAAAGAGAATTCTTTTTCAAAAGCATGCCTGCTTATTAATAAATATAAATAATATCAATAAATATGAATAGAAGGAAGGTAATTTTTAGCTGACTCAGTTTTCTTTTTTAAGGAATGAATATAAAACTTTGATAATAGCTTTGGAGTTTTTTTGGTTTAAGGGGGGAAGCATTTTGAAAGAACTAAAGAAATAATGAAATGCACATAGCAAAATGAATTGATATGTTGCCTTTGGACTGATGCAAACACATTTTTCTTTGGAAAAAAAAAGAAAAACTTTCTCAAAAGAAAGCACTTTTATTTTTTAATATATTTCCTTTTTTAGAATAATTGTTCCATTGATTTTTCCAAATTATGTTCTGTGTTTTCAGGGGTTGGATAGAATGAAAAAGTCTTTCAACTCTTTAGAGGGAATAAAAATTTCATTCAGTTACTTTTCTTTATGAAATCTAATTATTTTTTCTTATGAAATCTAGGAGATGTAGTTACAGGAAGCGATGCTCAGGTTTCTGTTCCTGTCCAGACTCTAACTGACCTCCAAGGTACAGTTACTATGGTGACATAGTACATCTCTGTTTGCCTGCAGCATTATCATTGTGTTCTCCAAGAAACCCCAGTGCCATTTTCGTTTTCCTTTATTTTCCATTTGTAGTGCCTCCCAAGTCACTGTTGCTGTCCAGCCACTAAGTGGCGCTGTTGTTTCGAACAAAAAGGTCCTTTCCATTCCATCATACCCAAGTGATGATCAGTCTGACTTTGGGGTGGGCTTTCTGTTGACTGCTAGTTTCTTCACTCGCAAAAGTCTAATTCACCTGGTGTTTTCACACTTCACTTTGTGTGGCTGCTAGATTAAGGAGCTGTTTCTCCTGCCCAGGTCTGCTATGACAGTCTTAGATTAATGTGGGCTAAGTTTAAGCATCTGTGTGCTGTAACAGCATGTACTTCTATTTCAAAAGACTTTCCTGCCTGTTTTTGAAATAAATAGTAAAATGTAGGCCTTTGTATTACAGTTTTATCAAAGAATTAAAACATTCTGTGACAAACCACCATAATGCAGTGACTAATGGGGATATAATGGAAAATAAAGAGCATTATACTAACTTGTCAGTGCTTTCTAAGAGAAAGAAGGCATTTACGTTCTTTAGAGAGTTTAGTTAAGAAGTTATTCAAAAGATAACTCACCATCAGCACCACTCATGGAGCTATAGATTATATAATTATTTCAAAATCATTCTAGATTTCATTATAATATCTTTGAAATGGAGGCAAGGGTGGGGAGGGGGTGAATTACAAGACCCCTTCTAATTAATTCTAAGCTGTTTTTGATTCTAGGGAGATAAAACACCTCTCAAAGATATAAATACAAATGTTTATTGCTTTTTTCCTTCATTAACTTCAGATGCTTATAATGCAGTTAACTCTTACAGTACAATTACTTAGTTGAGAGTATAGTGAAAGGGAAACTCAAGTCACACCTGGTACAGGCACCTTGTTATTATTGTAAAGGCATTCCCACACATAGAAATGGCTGCTTTTGTTGGGTCCTTTACATACAGATGTTCACCCCAGATATGAACTCCCTTCTTTCCATTTTTTCCTACTGTCAATGGAAGTTCCTTCGTCAACAACAGCAACAATTATAATAACTCCTATATAGTGCTTTCCTCAATAATTCTGTGAGGTAGCTAGTATAAATATTGTTATTCCCATTTTATAGATGACAGAAATAAGACTGAGAAGTTAAGTGACTTGCTTTTGATCACACAACTATTAAATGTACAAGGCAGAATGTAAATACAGCTAGGTGGCATGGTGGTTAGAGTGACTCATCTTCTTGAGTTCAAATCTGGCTCAGACACTTAATAGCATGTGACCTTGGGCAAGTCACTTGACCCTGTTTGCTCAATTTCCCTGTCTGTAAAATGAGCTGGAGAAGGAAATGGCAAATCACTCCAGTATCTCTGCTAAGAAAACTCCAAACAGGGTCATGAAGAATCAGATGTGACTAAAGTGACTGAACAACAGCAGCTCCTGATATTAATGTCAGATTCAGTCCTGTCCACTGTGCCTCACTGACTCTCCCACTGCTTGGGACACCTCCCTTCCAACTCCACATCCCTCCCTTCTGCTCATCCAGTGAGTAATGACCAGACAGAAAGCCCTCTCCTGTCCCCAATCTAGTCGCCTCTTCTTGGGTACTTTAATACCTGCAGCTGTTAGTAATAGAGGAGGGAAAACCCATCCCAGAACTTTCCTCAGCTCAGCAAAAAGGAAGGTAGGGTGAGGATCCATGGAATAGAGAAGGAAGGAGGGTAAGAAAAAAAAGAAGAAACGGCTTCTTTGTGGTTTGGGGGAAATAACCCCCTTCTCAATGCAGTGCCTCACTACCACCCTGCTTCCATAGCCTCGTTCTGGCACCTGACTGCCTCTCAGACTCTGTGTCACTCCTTCCTTGAGCCTTAGGGGCTCATCCTCAGACCCTCATCTTTGTGTCTCAGCACAAGCATTCATAGTCCCTGAATCTTCTGACTTAAGCATCAGAGACTATACTTGAACCTTTCTAATGGAGAAACCTGTTGCCGCTGAATGGCAGATATAAAGAGTGGAGTCAGTACTGCCAGGCCTGCTGCGGGGAAGATGATGTGTCCCTGGCAACCTAGATTAACCTCTTTGAGCACCTTGTTCTGTAGGAACACTGCAATCAATGATAGTTAGCTATTCGGAGGACTACCATGCTTCAGATACTTACTCCCGTAGATTGATGATTTCATTGATATGGGTCCTCACTCCACCAGTGCAAACCACAGGCCATCTGTGCCTCCATCCTCCGCAATTCTTGGCCTGCACAGCATCCCAGGGGGCTTCCTCTGGGCCTTTCAGCATTCTGTGAATGACTGTGCAACACTCAAGAGGGTCTTTTATCCTTCACTCTCATTACATGCCAAACCCACATAATTTTCTAGTCATACGTGTCATGATTGATGCCTTCTATGCCACTTCTGCAACATGTCATCCTTGGCAGAAAGCATCCCACCTCCTATCTGCTTACAACCTTCAGGCCCAGGGCTGCATTACCTTTTAGGTCTCCTGCAATTTTGATTCTTTAAAGGTCAAAGTGTTCCATGATTTGTACCTGTCCAGGAAAATATCAATGTCCAAAAGATGAGTTTTTGTATCAGAGGCCAACCCAACGTCTTTGATACACTGATTGTCTTACCAAATGTTATCCAACTCAGTCTTCCCCTCTTAGTCATTTCTAGGCCAAAATCATTGCTTTACCTTCCAGAGGGAGATCAACAGATCTATGTATATGTACATATTAGCATCTGTTCTATATTAGCATGCGTATATATACTAATTAAACGTGCTATCATGCAACCTCCATGTCCTAGTAGGGCAATATGACTCTACAGAATGGATTACATTTAATTTTATAGGCTGGTTCCATCATTTTTAATATCGTTTCTCTGGGAAAATGACTTTTAAAATCCCAGTGGCCAACTCGTGAGGACACCTTTTGACTTCAATCTTTTGAAGACTACTTGTATCTAAACATGTGAAAAGCAGACAAAGGCAGCACTTTGAAGCTGGTGCTCTTCATTTATTTGTGCTGTCCAAGGATCAGAGTTAGGTGCAAAATGGAAATTCTCGTGTGGTCATCCCTTCACCTCTCTTCTCCAACATAGAGGCTAACAATGAGAGGAGTGGAGAGGTTTGACTCTTACCTTGTTCTGCTCCCTTTGGTAGGGTTTTCAACAAAAGTGGAAATGGGCAGAAGACTGGGGAAGAGGCGCGGGCCCCATGTAATTCACACCTGAATAATGACTGAATAATCAAGAGTCAACTCCAGTTTGTTACCAGTTGTTCATCCCTTAGGGATAACCTTGCATAAATGTCATACTTCTGATTTTTAAGCCTTAGGTTTGTCTAAATTAACTTCACCTCTTTCTGTCCGAGAATGATAGAACAGCGGAGCTGGAAGGAGCCCTAGAAATCATCTGGTTTAATCTCTTTATTTTAGAGATGGGTAAACTGAGACTCAAGGAGATAAAGTGGTCAAATAGCAAGTGGGTGACAGCACATAGTAACATAAATTTAGAGCTGGAACAGGCCTCAGAGGTTATGTAACAGACAAGGAAACTGAGGTCTGAAAGTTTGAGTGCCTTGCCCAAGAAGCAGGATGAGGATTACAACCTAGGTATTCTGACTCCAAGCTCAGCACCCTCCCTGCTACACCACATTGCCCCTTATGTTTATAGGTGGTCGTTCTTCCAATTTATACCTATTCTTGACATCAGGATTTGGAACAGATTTTTGTTTTAGGTAAAAGGTTTTTATTTCTAATTGTTATTACATCTTTTTTTCATTTTAAACTTACAGTGTGCCCCCAAAGTCTTCAGTAGCTTAAAAGAGCACTTAGACCTTTGGGGTACTCTGTATATGTAACCCTGGAGCATTTTGCACAAGACTCTCCTAACGTAGAGATAACAGTGACACAACCCCATGTGGTCTCATGAGGGACAGAGTTGGTGCAAAAAGACTTTGTGAAGAGAGATAGTCATCTTTCCTACTTTGAAAGAGAGACACGTAGAATTTCAGAATTTCTTGAGGCAAAAATGAAGAATATCTTTCCTCTCCAAGGTTCTCAGAGCAACTCAGCTGCTCTCCTAGGCTCATAGATCCCAAGTGTTATTCCTTCCAGCAGTTGGAATTAAGCAAAATGCTACAAGCTAAAACCTAGGATACATGTAAAATGGATTTTATATAGCATATAATGGATATGAAGTAGAATGTGATACGTAATGTAGAATGTGTATTATAGGGAGCAGATTTTGTTAAAATGAGGTATGAGCTGCTGATTTCTAAAGAGTTCCATTTTTTGTGGGTCATACAGTGTACTCTCTTTATTTGAAAATCTCTTGTTTTATACACTGAATGTGTTGTGGTCATTAATTAAGCTTTTACCATGTCCCAGGCACTCTGCTAAGCTCTGGGAATAAAAGGGTAACATAGTCCCTGCCCTCAAAGAGCTTATATTCTGATGGGAGATAAAACATGTAAATGATGAGGTATATCGTAATATATACAAGATTAGATGTGTAATAATCAGAGGGGAAGGCACCAGCAGCTGGGAAAACCAAGAGAGGCCTCCTGCAGATTGTGAGATTTGAGCTGAGGCAGACGTGAAAGGGCAGAGCAATCCTGGAGCTACCTGGGAGCCACTGGAATTTATTGAGTGGAATGGTGGGTGGGGACATGGGCAGACCTGGGCTTTAGGAAAATCATTGTAACAGCTGGGTGGAGGATGGACTGGAGAGGAGAAAGTCTTAAGGCAGGAAGCCCAGGTAGGATGCTATTGTAGTAGTCCAGGTGAGAAGCAATGAGGGCCTGAACTAGGCCAGTGTGGCTGCAGAGAAGGGAACTTGCAGAGGTGAGATGAAGGTAGAAGGGATAAGTTTCGACAGAGTATTGGATGGCTGGTAAAAAGATAAGGATGGTGAGCCTGGGAGATGGAAGGATGGTGGTACCCTTGACAGTAATT